GGCCATGTCCCTCTTTTGGCTGAACCCAGTTTTGCTCAGTTCTCCCAAGAAATTGGTCTTGCATCACTTGGGGCATCAGATGAAGCTGTCCAAAAACTGGCAACGGTGAGTGTTTGAGTGCCTGGGATTCCACTGAAAGCTCTGTGCCCTGGCTAACCCACACCACTGAATAAATTTGGAGCTCCATGTCAATGTTAGCCACACCAGCTGCTAGATCTGTGTGTTTCACTGGTCCCTGAATTTTGAAGCATGAAAGAATTTTCCATGCTAGGAAAAAAACCCACTTTAAAGTTGATATGACTGGTATTTTTCTTCACTCTACTGTCAAGTAATGGTTCACCTTCTAGTGGTAGATTACTTTTTGTAAACAGAAATTTTATGGTGTATTTGTTTCAGACAAAGTCTTATGGGAACATGATTCAATGGTTTGAAATTTTTTTATGTGTAGAATGAATCGAAACTATATGGTATTGAATGTGGTGAGTGCTGGCATTAGATATTTTTCAGTCAAGAAATTAAAATAATATACACGAAACTAATTTTCTGGATATCAGTCTCTGGATGCCTTGGCAAGAGTATTTTAAGATTAAAAGTAAATTTAGATGAAAAGTAATTGGTGCCAGTTATGCAAGAACTAGCTTGCTGATTTTTAAAATTTCTTTTCCCATCTCATGTAGCTAGTGGTAAAACTTGTACTACCTTCAGTGGGAGCAGAGCTAAGCCATCTATGGAAACAGTGTTCCTTCCTGTATAGTTGCAGAAATCCTGAAATTCAGTGAACTGAATGCCTTTAATTTTACAGCACACTAAGCAAATGAGAAACAAACTGCAGTGAGCTGTTCTCACTCACTCAGAGATCCTCTCTATCCAGTGTTTGTTTTAAGCTGAGGCTGTGATGTCATGTCAGTATTTCTCAAAACAGGTTTACATGTCAATGTTTGCACTGGCATTAACATCCTCCAGCCCAGCTGGGTGATCTATAACACCCATCTTTCTTATGACAAACATGCAATCCTGTGGTTCCTCACCCTTCCATCCTGGCTTTCCTCCTCTTTAAATATCTGAGGATAACTGAGTGATAACTATCTGATATTTGCAACTATTTGATGCTACCTACAAATAGAAATGTTCCCATCGAGTTCACCACGATGATGGCTGAATTGTTTTATTTTTACTTCCTTCTGTGTTTCAGTGCTACTTCTTCACGGTAGAGTTTGGCTTGTGCAAGCAAGAGGGACAACTACGAGTTTATGGGGCTGGCTTGCTCTCTTCTATTAGTGAGCTCAAGGTAAGAATGGTTACTGCTTGTTTGCCTCTTTTCTTTCTACCTCATTATTGTTGTCACTGTTTTCCTCTGCTTTTTATGAAGTATACTTTCTTGATGTTATAGTCCAGGTAACTATTTTCTCATTAAAGCTTTGTTAGTTAGACCAGATTCTGAAAACATTGCTCTTGTCTATACACAAGCCTTGTGTCTGTGGAGTCTCTTTGCTCACCCAGACTGGCAGAATACGACTGTTCAGAATAATTCAGTTTGTTAGGCTTTAATCACTGTTCATCTGCAGATAAAAATTTTAAGATGCAAGGCATTAAAATAATCTCACATAATCTTTTTTGTTCACTTGATCACGTCATCATCCCCCTGGATTTTTCGGATGGTGATGTTCTTCTGACCCATGCTAACACCTTCCCAGCACTCACTCTCTGACAGCGCCAAAGTCAAGCCTTTTGATCCAAAGGTCACCTGCAAGCAAGAATGCATCATTACAACTTTCCAGGAGGTGTACTTTGTTTCAGAAAGTTTTGAAGAAGCAAAGGAAAAGATGAGGTACAGATTCTGTACCCCCCCTGCCCCCCTTATTTTTATAAAAGCAGATTTGGTTTTATACATCTCTCTGTAGCAGCACCAAACTCCTTTAGTCTTATCACAGTTTTGCAACTATTTTTCACAGCATCGGAATTTTGGTTGGTATTTTCTTGTCCTTCAGGTATTGGGTGGGAGGAGATATATAACAATTAGGACTATTTCTAATTAGTTTAGAAAAGTGGGTGTTGATACTGGCTGCATATAGAGAATGCAATTGTGCTTTATGTCTTGTTTAAAACACTCTATTTTGGTTATAACACACTTGTTTGGTTTTTTGTTTTTGTTTTTTTTTTTAACCTCACCTCACTAGAGAGTTTGCAAAAACCATCAAGCGCCCCTTTGGGGTGAAGTACAATCCCTACACTCAGAGCGTGCAGATCCTGAAGGACACGAAGAGCATCGCCAGCGTGGTGAACGAGCTGCGCCACGAGCTGGACATCGTCAGCGATGCCCTCAGCAAGATGGGCAAGCAGCTGGAAGTTTAACACCCTGTCAGCCCTGTGCTGCAAGCCAAGGCTCCCCTCTGCCCCACCCAGCTCCTTCCAGCCATGTAATGTGTTGCATGCAGAACTCGCTCCTTTACACATGGAAGAGCGAACAGCCCATAAGAATATAACAATTTCACCCTGTTGCTCTCTGTAAATTTCCTCACATAAACAAGTTCCTCCATCCCCTTTAGGTAAAAAAGGCAGAATTGCCTTTTAGAAGCTTATAGGGGAGTAGATAAATGGTTAGACTGGAGAAAAAGTGTGGTCTGTGGATCAGGGCTGCGGTCAGATGCTGCAGGAGGTGGCTTATGAGGCAAAAATAGAGTCATTCACTAGGGAGAATTCAATTTCTGACTCCAGAAGTCTATGCTACTGATTGTATAGTGCTGAGGACTTGGCACTGTAGAAGTTGGGGTAATTCAGTTTTTCTAAGCCTGTGCTACTAAGTTTTAAACTTGAACTATTACAATGCAGGCATCAGGACACAAATAGCTGGAGGTTCAACATAATAAGGGAGGGGTCAAATCTTGCTTTCAAAGGGATTATTCTTGCCACAAAGAGTTGCAAATGTGCTGTTGGGATGCTTCTAGTATAAGGCAGAGATACAGCTGTTGCATGAAATCCTGATAACGTTTATTTTAAGCGATTTTCTATTGGCTAAGAGTCAGGGTTTGTTGCTGTCCTTGGTATTGCACCTGAGGGAAGAGCTTTCCTTGCGGAGATACCATTTGCCTTTTTCCTGATTGAATTAATTTAGCAAAAAATACAGCAAGCCATCAAGCATTGACTTTGCATAAAGCCTAAAACCATTTCCAAACTGCAACTTCATATTCAAAATAGCTTAATTTGCTCTAAAATAACATCAAAGTTTAAAGTAACACCTGAAGCTCATAGACCAGTGTGCTTTATGTAAAAATAAATATCCTGTTGATTGCTCAGTCACTTTTTTGACCTACGCATGCTGCATAAATATATGTTTAGCTTCTTCTTTACCTGACCGCAACACCTTCATTCCCTATCAATCAAACTGTAACTGAAAGGCCCAAGCATTTCATAGGTATTCTGTGGCTGTGAAGGCAAGTGTGAGGTATAGGTGATTCCAAGAGCACTTTAGAAGTGTTGGGAAGCAGAGTCCTGCTGGATTGTCTGCAGTGCACAGCGTGTAGGGGGTCCGGAGTCCAAGCTCCCCGCAGAGCTGTGCAAAGCTTCTGCTGCCCCTGTCCTGGCACGGACACGTGTGCAGGCTGTGAGACATTTGAGGGGATCTGTGATGGGCAGGGTGTATTTAACAGCATCCTAGGAACTGCTCTTTTCATCTGTCGATCTTATCAGGAAGTACAGACAGCGCGCTGGAAGAACGGTCTGAAATCTTAAATATGCTGGAGAGGCTAGTCCAGGGTTTTGAGAACTTGAAAGGACTTTCATGAAACCTGTGTGCTGGACAATTAGCTCGGGTTTCACATGCTTTCTAATAGGACACCTCTGCTCCATAAGCAATTGCCAGGCCAACCTTTCCAAGAACACTCACTGTTTAAATCAAGACTAGATCGCTATTTCTGTGGCTATTAACCCACTATATCTTTGTTTTGAAGAGCATTTAAGATGTAGAATTATGCTACAACATTTATGGCTTACATTACACTTTATTTAAAAATAGATTTTAGGAACTTTGTCTTTCTAAAGAAGAAACCTTCTAAGTGAGTAGTAAGGGAGGATCTGTTTTGTCAGCTTCTGTGATAACAGTTAATATTCAGCTACAGTTTTAACAACATTGGATTTATGATGTTGTTGAAATATACATAGGTCTGTGTTACTTCAAGCCTTGTCTGAGCTATGTATACATTTCAAGTAGGAGTTCTTAAACTTGTTAAATTAGCACCTACTTTCAAATACTTTGTAAAAACAGCAGTTGTATATTTATTTGCATTTGTGTAGCTAAAGAAAAAGCGAACTGCTAGGAGCGATGCCGAGAAAACTGCACTTCCACAGCATTAACAACGTGTACGTTTGGCTTCACCCAAACAAACTTCTGTAAAGCGGTGACAATTTAAGTACTTTAAACCATTGTGGAGGTTTAAATGCCAACGAAATAAAGGAGTTGCTGGTAATTATCAGAATCACCAAAGCCCTTTACTTCGGCACCGTAGCAATAAAGGAAAGCTGATGTCTCTAGAAACAATTTGATGGGTGAAGGTGTGGATGTTAATGTGTTTGCAATGTCTCTGCTGGCTTTGGCAGCGGCTTTGCTGCAGAGCCCAGGGCTCAGCCTGAGTTCCTGCGCTGTGTGGGACCACAGCAGGTTCCAGGCAGGAATAGATGGAAGGCTCGGGAAGGCTGTGCCTCAGCCCTGGGGAAAGGAAGAGGGCAACGCGCGGCCGGGAATTAGGATAAAAGGCTGCGCTGAGACAGAAAAGCCCGCAGGTGCGCGTCCCGGTGGACTCTCTTTAGTCGGATAAAGAACGCCGCTCTCTCCTTTTTTTGGCCATGAACCCCTGGCATTTGTGGCTTCTCGCCCCGGCTCCGAGCCCGCCCCGGCTCTCATCCGGCTCCGAGCCCGCCCCGCGCCCGCCTCTTCCTGCCCGGCCCGCGGGCGGCGGGAAGCGCCGGGAGCCGCCGGCCCCATCCCGGGCCGTGCCAGCCCCATCCCGTGCCGTGCCGTGCTGTGCCGTGCCGGGCCATGGAGCCTCAGCTGTTCGCTTGGGTGAGTGGAGCCCGGCCCGACTCGGCCCGGCCCGGGGAGCGGGAGGCTGGCGGGGCTGCTGCGGCCGCGGTGTCCCCGCCCGCACGGAAACAACGCCGTGGCACGGCAGGTGTGAGAGCCGAGAAAGGGCCAGCCCTCGCCGGGGTCAGCCCCGTTTGCTCCGCCGGGCCCGGCCAGGGCGGCTGCAGTGATGCCGGCCTTGGGACAGCCGAGCCGGGACAACCGGGACAGCCGAGCCGGGACAGCCGGGACAGTTGTGCTGGGATAGCCGGGACAGCCGAGCCGGGACAGCCGAGCCGGGACAGCCGAGCCGGGACAGCCGAGTGTGTATAGCTGTGTCAGGACAGCCGCGTGTGGCTCTCTTCCCCGTCCCTTCTGCAGCTCTTGGCGGCTGGCCTGGGTTTGGGGCTTGGACAGTATAGGGAGTTAGAGGCTGGAAGGGCGGGTTGTGACTCGTGTTGGGTAGCCCATGCTCTGGAATGGGTGTGAGCAGTGGCTGTGAGGCAGCGCGGGCTGTGTGCCTGGGCAGCTCCGCACACACCTGGGGCTCGGGGCTCGGGCTCTGTGCCTGCAGCCCCGCTCCGTGTCTGGCCATGAAATGGGCATCGCTGAACGCCGCCCCTCAGCCTCCACCGGGGGCTGCATGTCTCGGGGGGGTGGAGGATAAATGCAGAGCAGACAGTGCACAGGTGAGGTGGGTCAGCAGCTGGGGACATTGTGGGTGCGGATGGGGAAGGTTCTTGTATCCCCTTTTTTGTGAATGAAGGTTGAGCTCTTGGACGCGGAGCTGAAATTCACTAAGAAATTCCCTGACTTGTTACCATGTTGGTAATTGCTGCTTTCCACGGTGTGTTTAGTAGCTATAGTTTTGTACCTATAAATTTAAATTACCTGTTATTGGTATATTTTCATTTGGACCTCCTTAATTTAAAGTATTTAGTTAATGAGACATAAATGTTTCTGATTTACTTGTTTAGGTTCCAAAAAAAGGTCTTTCTGCTCTCGTTTTGGAGGTAGCCTGCCAGAAAGCAGTGGCATGAATAAGGCCTTAGTGATGAGTGGGAATCATTGGCATTAAAATTAAACATGTGGTAATCATCCTGATAGAAAGGCTTTCCTCCTTATTATTTCCTTATTAACTGTGAGACCCCAGTTAAAGTTCAACAGGTTGTATTCCAGTATGCCTTTTGAAATACTGGGGATGCACAGACACCCTTAATGACAGCAAAGTTAGGACAGTCCTGGTCTGTGATCCTGGGAATCCTATGTGACATAGCAGGGGATTTTTAGGAGCAGGTTAACCCGTGGCATATCCCAAATATTGTTGTTTGTCCTTGGGAGCATATGTGTGTTTCTTTTGTTAACTTTCAAAAAAATGTGTAATTTTTCTGTGTGCATTTGAAGGGTGCAAACAGCTATGGACAACTTGGTCTTGGTCATAAAGAGGATGTGCTGGTTCCTCAGGCCCTGAAAGATGTTTCCTGCAAATGTCGAGACATTACAAGCATTGCTGGAGGAGGGGGACATTCTGCAGTTACCACTGGTAAAAACATTGCTCTTGCACGGGGTGTTTGGCTTTTAATCACCTTTTTTTTTGGTTCAGTGCTGCCACCTCTCTGTGGCTGCTGTTCCTGAGCAGGTACAATCCTGCAAAACAGCTTCCTCTCCTCCCAGTTCGCTCGATATTTGGGGAAATTCCCATTGCTCATATATTGTGTAGTTACTTCGTGGCTGTGTGAGGACTGTTTCTTCAGCTGTTTCTTTCATACAAAGAAGCCAAATTCTCTGTATGGGGGGTGGGAAGGAGGAGTCAGAGGTTATTCAATCTTAAGAAGTGTTAAGGTAAGGAGCAGGACATAACATCTGGCCCTTGCAGGGTTGTGCTGTATGCCACAGCTAATTATGGTAAAGAAGGAATGCAGACAGATGTGAACACGATGAAAACATGAGTGTGAGAGGTGCCTGTCTCACCAAGGGATTGTCTCCCGATAGACCCAGCTCTCCACAGCTGCAGTTATTCAGAGATATTTCTGATGCATCAGAAACAACTGTTTCTTTTTACTTGATTGCTGTGCCTCAAGTTACACATAATCACTGTCCTTGTTTTTCACAGGATCTCACAGATGTAGGTTTTTCTTTATAGTCTGTGAAGTGGAAGACAATTTGTTTTTTGTTTCTTTTCTTCCAGGTACAGGACAACTCTTTGTATGTGGTGGTAACAAAGATGGGCAGTTGGGATTGAATCACACAGAGGATGTGCTGCATTTTACTTTGTGCACTGCCCTGTCTGGCTTTTGTGTGAAACAAGTTGCATGTGGCTGGGATTTTACAATCATATTAGTAGGTAAATCTTTCTCTCTAACAGCTGAAGAAATACCTTGATGCAGAGAACACGCTGGAAGTTCCACAGTGCTGTTGCTTGTGTGGTGTGAGGGACCTGGACAAGTCTGAGAAGGGGCCCATGGGAACCTGTGGAAATTCTACAAAGCCACGTGCTGGTGCTGCACCTGATCCAGCCATGGCACTCCCAGCCCAGAGAGCCAAAGGAGTGCTGGGCTGCACCCAGAGCCCCGTGGGCAGCAGGGCAGGGAGGGGGTTCTGCCCCTCTGCTCTGCTCAGGTGAGACCCACCTGGAACCCTGCACCCATCCCTGGGCTCCAGGGCCCTGCTGGGACCCTGCACCCATCCCTGGGCACCCATCCCTGGGCTCCAGGGCCCTGCTGGGGTGAGCCCAGAGGAGGCCACCAGGGTGGTCAGAGGATGGAGCACTCTCCTGTGAGGAAAGGCTGAGAGAGTTGGGGCTTGGAGAAGGTCCTAACCCTGGACAAATTCTCTGAGCCTGATACTGAATTTGGTTTAGCAATGATTTCAGGATTTAGCCATTCTCTGAAACGTGACATATTTGAAAGATGGCTTTCACTTTATAGCAAATGTTACTGATGATCACATCAAACATTCTCTAAGAGTAATGGATTCAGAACTTGTTTGCAGCTCATTATCAAGTACCCAATCATGACATCCATAATCAGTCTTACTAGTCCTTTTCTTTACTGATCCTGCTCTAATACTTCATTTTTTTTTTGCAGGATCTGGCCTAGTGCTTTCCTGTGGGTCAAACTCTTTTGGACAACTGGGACTTCCTCAAATTTCCGGCCCGTGCTTGATTCCACAAAAGATTGAGGTAAAGATTTCGAAGGGACTGTGCTTTATATTGCTTCCAGCAGCTTACAGAGCTCATCTGACCTCAGTGGGCTTTAAGCCAGACTCTTCCACTAATTTTTTATAGTGCCTATCTGCTACAAATAAGCTTACAAAGTAAAGGCTCAAAGGTGAATTGAAAGGCTAAGGCTGCTTTTCTTCTTGTATGAAGTTTCTCACTTCCAATAGCAAGTTGACTCTTTCACTTCTCAGGCCACAAATTATTTAGCATCATGGCTCATGCCAGATATTCCTTTGTTGCTTTTTTAATGTAGAAGGAGGGCAGCTGATCCCTTAGGTGACCCTTAGTGAGTAGGAGTTAGTTCCCTGACGTTTCTGTGGCCTTGATGTTTCCCAAGAGCACCTCTTGCAGTGTGGAGCCTTAAAGTTTGGTAGGATTGACAGTGCTGATGTGAATCTCTCTCATCCTTCACCAAACAAACTTTTATTTGCCGAATTCATGTCAAATATTTGCTCTTTTGGTTGGTATCCCTTAAATTCTTGGGCTTGATTCTACCTATTTGAATACACCTGCTGCTTTTCCACCCAGGATAGATATCCAGAGGGTTTTCAAAACCCTGTAAGAGCAAGACAGGATGGAATGGGAGGTAACAGAAGGGGGAAGCTTCCACATGATTCCTGGGGTCTGTTGCTGTGGAGGGAAACGTTTAGGTTTTTCTCTGGTGGAAAACAAAATTGCCAGTACCTTGACAAGACTGAGCAGCTTAATGCACATAATGCTGCCTTTCACCAGTATTTACTGTGGAGGTTTTGGTGTAATTCTTGAAGAACACCGAGTTAAAATTAAGAAATAAACATATTTGTATCACTGAGGTTTCTTCTTTCATATGAATATTTTGACTGTGGTTTTTTATTTATTGCCACAGCACTGTGCATCCAGTTGGTTTGCTGATTTATTTGTTATTTCTTGAAGATGTTCCCACTAACGTTTATTGGTCAAAATTTACTTATTTTGTGATACAAAATGTTGATGTACATTGGGACATGCAGGCTGGAATTGTGAGCACTATTTTTGTAGTGTTCCACTTCTGTTTGGCCTCTTTGTTTTAAGAGGCACTAAAAGCAACTTAATTATCATTTTCTGTTATTTGCATAGTCTCTCAAAGAGAAGGTGGTGAGTGTTGCTGCAGGACTGAGACATGCACTTGCTGCTACAGGTAAGTATGTCATAATTTTAATATCTTTTCAGTAACAAATGAAATGGGATTTTAATGGCTTGGAGGAAGAGAGGGAAGAAAAGAGAATGAAATTTATCTCATCTACTATCTATTTTAAATATCATAGGGAAAATACACCTTAAAGTCATGACTGTAAGATTTAGGGATAAATTAGCATGAATAGTAAAGATTCCAGAACCATCTTCCTGGAAAATCACGGGGAAAAGCTTTTTCCAAGAATTCAGAGTGATGGTTTATTAACAATTTAATTTGCTGATGGATGGAAAACATACTGACTTCTCTTTTCTTATTCTGAAACAAAACTTTCAGGAAAAAGGGTTTCTGATCAAAGTATCTTAGGGTTTGAACTCATTATAGTATGCAGAGCAACTTAAGTTTGTATAAGATGCTTCAAAATGGAACTGCACATAAAATTGTGACTTTTTAAATGATATAATTGAAATTGACACCTGGAAAATCGCAAGAGTGAGACTAAATATTGCTCCTGCTGTTATTAGGGACTCTGAGTTGGTTCATGGTGTAACAGTAGAAATCAAACCCTTTCTTTTGGCTTGGTTGTGTGAAAACCGAGGAAAAACAAACGATAGCCACTCTTGTATTTGGTTTAGTTTTGTGTGGACTTCAGTATGGGCTCCAGGTAGTGGAGCTGAAGGTGCTTGGAAGAATGGTTGGATCTCTGGTGCTTGTATGAATAGTGGGAGCTGAAATTCCCTGTGCTGCACTGCACAAACGGGCATCAAGGGAAGGAAAGGGAAAGTCCAAGAGCTTTGTATCCATTCCTGAGGTGCTGCAACCATGGGATTTCTGTTACTGAATCTCCAATAACTTCCCACCTAAGTTTTCTTACCTGTATACTGGGACCACAGCTGTTTGTTGCTTATTGACTTCACCAGGGTTATCTGAATGTTTTTTTGGCATAAAGGTCTTTTAAAGTGTAATTTGAATCGGTGAAAATGACTTGAAGGAATGACTGTTCACTAAGGTGTGAAGTGGTTTCTGTTGGTGGTTGATGTGCTTTAATGCCTTTCATTTGTGTTTTCTCTGAAAAGACAGAGGTGTGGTGCTGCAGTGGGGAACTGGGATGGCATCTCGGGCAAGGCGGGCAAGCCAAGGAAAAGCCCTCCCTCTGTTCTTGACAGCAAAGGAGCCCTGTGAAGTGGCAGGTAATCCAGGAGCCTGGCTGGATAGAGCAGAAATACACTTTGGAGTGGTACACATCTTCCTTTTTATAAAGCCTGGTGGTGTTGCAGCATGGAGTACCTGAGGGATAGAATGGTCACAGAAAAGCTGATCTGTGGGGAAATGAGTCCTGCCATGTCTGTGGCCCAAAGTCAGAGCCTTTTGTAACAAAGCCATCACCATCCTCCTACACTTGTATGCATGTTTGTGTGTGAATTGATACCTGCTGTAGACATTTTATGGGATTACATTTTTTCCAGGCCTGGAAGGTGTAAAGGTGAAGACAGTTGCTGCAGGCTCCTATCATTCGGTGTCCCTCACAGGTAGGACTCGGGCACAGGGGTCAAAGTCCTCATCTCACCCTTCAGAGGTCTCTCTGCTTCTGAAATGTTGTCAGTTTTGGTTAAACTGGTGAAGTTTGATCTGGCCTAGTTAGTGCTGGTAATTGTTTTGTAATAGTTTGTATAGTTTGTAATAGCACTCTGAGACCTTTTGTTTTAGGAGCTGGATTGATGTTTCGAGTTCTCTGTGTGTTTTTCATGGGGTCAGGTGTGACCTTAGCCCTTATGTCATTCAGGGTCTGGGCTCTTCATGGCTAGAAACTCTGAAAGGATTTGTAGTGCCTGGAGCTGCAGCAGGATGCCCCCTTGGGTGCCTGGTTACTGCTGGAAGCAGGGAAACCCTTTTGCCATGGAGGTGATTGTCCCAGGCCAGGCAGCAGAAGCAGCGTGAGCTGAGCCCTGTGTGTGGGCAGGGCCGGGCTCTGGGAAGGCTGGAGCTCTCTTAGGCTCCACTGGGACTCTGTGCAGGTCTGTGCTGTAAGAGCACAAAGCTTGTTTGAAGAGTGGGACGTTGCTTTGATTGGTTAGGCACTTCCATAATATCTGCCATTTGTTCTTTGATCCTCAGGCAGTGCTCCCATGCTGGAGTACTGAGTATCCAGTAATGAAAGTCTAATAAAGATTTCTTTTTGTTTTAACAGACTGGGAGCAAGGGAAACAGAATAGCTTTCATGCTGTAATCTTACAGTTTTGAAGTGTGTAAAATATATTGAACCTTATGAAGACAAGTCTTTGCCAAACTTCACAGGAACAAGTTCTTAGCAAATCTGCAGCCATCTGGTACCTCTGTCATCATTAAAGGAGCACTGGAGTATTTGCTTATGCACATCTCTAGAGATTTAGTTGTATGGAGAGATGTTCCAAGATGTAAATTATATTGAATTCAGAGATGCAAAGTGTGTGCAAGATTAGTGAAGACAAACTGTAAGAACAAATAAAATCTACTTTAGATAATTGACACTCCCTATTTAGACAGTGAACAGATTATTCTTTCATGCTTTTGCTTTTTATTTAAGAGATCTATTTGGCAGCAGGGGGACCAAGATTGACAAAGTAAGTGCCAAAGAATTTTATAATCTCGTGCTGCCCTTCGTCCTGCAAGACAGTCATTACTTAAAATATTTTGTTTTTTTAAGGATGCTTGATATAATAAAGATACTACTGCAGGGTGTAATATTTAAACGGGTCTTTTTTTTCTAGGGATGCCTTGCACTGTGGTGCAGTTTTCTTTGCCTCTGTTCCATGAGTCACCTGCTGGTGGGATATCAAATACCTGCAGCCAGGCAGCTTTGGGACACAGCTGTTGGTGTGGGCTGTTACTAACATGAATAGGGGTTATTTGGAAACAAAGGATGGTAGAGTCAAATTGGCCTGAACCCTCCAGGGCTGAGAATATGGAGCTAAGTCTCAGTGTCTGAGTTTTTGTTCAAACCTACTCAAGCTGTGACTTTTCCCAGGAAAAAGCAAATAGCTCTGTAAAATGGGGTGACAGAGGCAGTGCATGGGAATGTGGAACATGAATGGCCACAGTGTTTTTCTTTTTTCTTTGTTGTGTTTGTCACCTTTTTTTTTTTTTTTCCTCCACTCCGTGCGTGCACTTCGTGCTGGGAATGAATTTATCAATTTTAATGGAAAATTCAAATATTTGAATGAAACAATTGCTTGACTTTTTTTCCTTTTCATTTCAGTTGTGCTCTTTTAAAGAGGAACATGGGAAGTCCTGCAGATGTCTGGCTTCTCCCCCCACTCCCATTCCTTGCCTGTTTTTCACCAGCAGTACTATAGTGGAATTCTCCTGGCTTCCTCTTTCTGTTGCTGTTACCAAACTGAGATTGTTAAATACACTGTAGCCTAAGTTCTACTTTTTTTTTTTTTTCCCTCTGAAAGATTTACTTGTGCCATGGTGGTTGTGATGAGTTCAGTGCTGACCTGGCACATCCTGATGCCTTGAGTGTTGGGGATGTTGCTCCAGACAGTTCCAGTTGGAACTTAGGTGGTTTCCAGCCTTTCTGGGCCCACAATAGTGTGCAGGATCACATGTGCAGGATTGATTTCTTACACTTCCAGCTTGTGCAGGCTGTCAAAGACTTCAGGGAGGCCTGACAGCTCATGTTCTTTTAAAGTGTTTTCTGTGGATTTTTTTTTTTTTACTGTGGAGGCCTAGGACCTGGGAGGAATGGTTTTGTCCTGAAAAGATGGAGCTAATGGTATTTTATTTCTGCAAAGGACTCGTCTGAGCAGTCACTGTGGTGGTGCCCATTGCTTGTTAGGCTGTGAGCAGCTCCAGCTTGCATTGATAAGAAGCACTGTGGGTGTGTCTGTAAAAAGATTTATCCCTGTGGCTGGAACCCTGGAGTGTGCATTTGAGCAAATGCTTGTTTTTGAAAGGAGATGTGGAATACAAGTGACCACTTACAGAAGTCTTTCTGGCGTTGTTCTGGTGTCATTTTGAGGCACAATAATATTTTAATTTTGCCTTGTGATGGGTGATGCCTGCTTTAGTAGTGTGTTCATAGCTGCATGTCCAATTCCTCTGGGAAGTGACTGTGCAAGGTGAGTCAAGGAGCACTGGACTGTCCCTGCTTTGGGGCATTTACTGAGAGGCAGAATTGGTGTGAGCAGAGCTCTTGAAGAGAGGCTGGGAGACTGTAAAGCAGAGCAGGAGCAGCCAGCCAGGCTTTGAATTATTTGCTGCAGTCCTAAAAGTTATTTACTGGATGTAATCAAAGCTTTGGAGTGGAAATAATAGCTGGTCTGCAAGGACAGGCTGGATGGAGAGGGACTGCTCAGTGAGTGTCTCTGAGATGCTTTGATTCTCTTTTACTCAGAGAAGTTGACTGCTGTGGTTAGTTTTTTAATAAAAATTAGTCTTTGTTATAAACATCTAGGCAGTTTGACCTGAAAGCTCTCGTTGTTTCAGGGAGTCTGTGTAGCCCTCAAAAAAGAGGCTGTGTTGTTAAGGCCCTTGCCAATATTTCTGCTCTCCCAGTTACAATGGTAAAGAATGGTAGGAGAAAGCATACAGTGAGAGCACCGATGGAATGAAATGTTCTTTCCTCAGTGTCACTGAACTGAGACAGAGCCTGAATCTGGTGGGATTGGATTAATCTTTAATTAATCTTTAAACAGGTTTTCCGTCTGTCTGTTGCAGATGAAGGACACCTGTATGTCTGGGGCAGCAACAAACACGGGCAGCTGGTGAGCAGAGACATCTTTCTTGCTGAGCCCAAGAAGATTGACACTCAGTGTTTCTCACATGAAAAGATTGGAGCAGTTTGGAGTGGCTGGACCCACCTGGTGGCACAGACAGGTAGGATATTTACAAAGCAGTGACATAAGGCACCCAAACAGTAAATTGTAAATTGTCTTTGCAGGTGAGCAGTGTTTTTCTCACTAACAGTGGCTGGACACACAGTGCTGCAGTTTCACCCAAGTTCAGTTGTCTCTTGAAAAATGATGAGCACAGAAATACCTTGGCTGCTCTTTTAGTAGGGCATTAAGAGCAGAGAAAATAATATATTCAGAAGAAAATCAGTAAACTAAAACCAGCTGGCTTATATGTATGAAATATTTGGAAAAGACAGGTAAACAGAGGCATCATGACACTTGAAGAGCATTCCCTGAGGATGAAAATGGAAGCAGATTTCATGGTGAAGCTGTAGCTCCCTGGGCATGTCTGTGATGAGGACACTGAGGGCTGCAGGGTTGGATGTGGCTTGGAGGGGAGGTTGTGAACCAGTGCTGGTCATGGGAGCTCAGCGAGTGGGAGACACAAAGGAGGGAAGGGCAGGTGAGATGGGAAGGCAAGGCAGGCCTGAAGCTCTTGTGTGGGGTTTGTGCTCTTTGCTTCTCCTCTTGCAGGGTGTGGTGCCATGGCTGGGATAACAAGAGGCTGGAAGTCTTCCTTAGAGGAAAAGGAACAGCCAGAGCTGTGATGTGTGCCTGGAAAAACAAATCGGTTGTTTTCTGTTCCATAGCATTCATTGTTTGACATCAAAGTATGTGAGAAAAGTGGGGAAAAAATCCACATCAGCTGCTCCTTTAACTGTTCATGAGAAATGCCTGAACTCTGATTTTTAGAGGATGCTATACTGAAAATTTCAAAGCTACAATCAGTGCTATGAGCTTCTTGGAAACTTTTCAGGTGGAGTAAAATAATTTATATCAAAATCTGTAGTTCTTGAATTAAGTGCTTGATGTCATCCTCACTGGAACAGAAATGATAGAAAAAGCCATTAGTCAGGATAACCTGATTTTTAAAGAGTCTTGACAATTTGGTTTGCTTTCCTTCACTATTTCTTAATAGACCATACCCACTAAATAAAATTTCCCCAGAGTTTCAGTATCTTCAGTGTTTCACTTACTTGATGCTTATCTGTGGGTACTGCAGACATGAAGTGTTTCAGCAGGTGTTTCTATACAACAACAACAAGTGTGGCAAGTGACTAGCAGGGATGTTTTGCTGGTGAATATTTAAAAAGAATTTATATAAAAACAGGCTGGCTTTCTGCATCTGCATTAGAACACTGACCAAGTGATGCAGTGGCACAAGTTTATTGCTGAAATTGTCTTTTATGTATTTAGAACTTTAAATCTCTTTGAAGAGCAATGGACCTGAACCTGAATCACCTGGAATAAGATTTGGAATGGCCTTTGGCAGCCTCCAGACACCAGTCAGGATCCTGTGGGAATTTCAAGGCTTGTTCAGCTGCTGGATACAGTGTGAGCTGAAGCACTTAACTCTTTCATTTGCTGCACTAAATTTGCAGAATTACAGAATAACAGAGATGCAGCCCACTTGAGAACTGTCCCCTGCATGCAGTTCTTCCCACCAGCATTTTTACCTGCACCTAGCAAAGGAGGAAATGTTGCTTCAGTTTCCTGGTGCTGAAGTTGTAAACTAGAGATCCCCAAACATTATGGATCAATAAAGTTTCTTTGGAGCATGCAGCCCCCAATATATTTATACTAATTTATTTATAAATTATAGACATATAATTTTGTAATATGCAAACTATAAAATATGTACAATAGAAATTTTACAAAGGATGAGATAAACACTACTTAAAATAGTACTTTATTAGCTTAATTACAACTGTTAATAATTTATTAATAAGTTAAAATATTTAGATGTAATTTTCATCCTGCCCTCCAGTGGATTGTCTTGTGAATACCTAGGGCTACAGACACTTCACTGTAGAGATACTGATACAAACATTTCCTGCTTGCTTTACTCCAGGGAGTTCCACAATTAGTGGAAAGGAGGCAAAATAGGAGGATTTCTGGACCCAGGAAAATGGAAGGAAGGGATATTGCATGATGCTTCTCTGCTCATTGTGGAAGATAAAAACATACTTTGGAAAGACATTGCAGTGATGTTTGCTGCATGAAAGAATGAAGAAGTTTTTTTTCAAATTAATAATCTCAGCGTGATGTAAAATTTAGTAGTTTAAAGTTTGTTTCTGTGTCTGAAGTCTCATGTAGTGTTTTCCACAGAAGGTAGCTGAATTTTAGGGGGCTGTTACAAATACTTAGAGTTCGGTTTGAATTTTGTTTTCCAGAGCATTAATCCTGGTCAGAGTCGTAATAATAAAATCTTGTTATTGCAGCTGTCTTGACAGTAACTAAAACCTCTTCTCATTGGAAAGACACAGGAAGGAACTGGGTGATAAACACTGGGCATAAATTCACAAATTCTGCCATTTCAAAGTGACATTTTGATCTTTACCTGCCAGATGAGCAGAGCTTGGCTGCAGAACTCATGGAAGAGTGAGAAGTAAATGAGAGAGTGATGTTGTTAAGAGCAACCATCTGGAGGAATATTTTCATGGTTGCAGTGGTTTGACAGTTTTAAAGTGAGTCCAAGTTATCAAGTTTGTTATCAGAAAAAAGGAACACAGCAGAAATATTTTTGTCTTCTGTCTTTCCCTCTTATATAAGCTGGCCTGTTTTTAACTTGCTTTGTTTTTCCTTTATGCTGCTGGCAAACGTTTGTGCTGTAACATAAAGCAAAACGCCCAACTCATTTTAATTTCTTCCCCATTCTCTCTTTACAAGGGATTTTAATTGCACCTGAAATCACTTTTAATACCTGCATCTCTTTCATATTCTGTGTTCTACCTCATTCAGCAGAGGTTTCCTGTCATTTCTTTTTACAGTTTGATCAACTCTTTTTTCACTTGCTGTTGTTTAAAGGAGTTTTGTTTCAAGACATTAATTCCTGAGAAATTAATTCCTTCACTTAAAGGTGTTAAGGAATGTTTTCACGAGATGTTGTGATTTTAATCCTTCCTTCAGTTCCTTACTCCTGTTATTACTGAGGTTTCTTTTGGGGCTATCTCCACTGTACACACTCTTACTGTAAAATAACTCCCAGAACCCTTTGAGACAGACAAGTGCTTTTCCTCCCTTGATTATTGTTTCCTACAGAGCAGGTAGTTCAAGTTTGATGATGGTTGGGCCAGAAGGATGAAGGTTGGGAAGCTCTGGTTGCTCTTTGGCCTGATCTCTGATGATGAGACATGGCCTTGCTGGTGTCTGGTTTATTCTCCATTTTCTGTGTGAATGCCCGTGTGAGGTGACTCAGGAATGCTTTTCCCTGCTGGCAGGGCAGTGCTGTTGCTGCCCCGTGTAAAGGACAGGACCAGGTGCACTCTTGTGCCCTTGGACTCCAAGCACGAGTGCTGTTCTCTTGTGACAACCACTCTGCTCAAGGTTTGCTTCCCATCCAGCCCCTGCCTACTGCACACGGAGCACCACTGCAGTACACATGGTGCTGCTGTGAATAACCAGCAGCTGCCTTGCACTGCTGTCCTTAACAATCTCAGCTTTAATTTGTGGTCCCTCTCAAGTTAATGCAAACACTTTGAGGATAACTGCTGAAAGAGAGGTTATTGCTTAGGTCATTTAAAAGAGAGCTAAGCTGTGGCCTGTAATGTTGAAGATGTAAATTAGGCTACTTTGGGGAATGGTAGAACCAGTCTGACTTGAAGGCAAACCTAAATATGGCAACAGAGGTATTTTAAAGACTTAGAGGTGAATCATCAACTTCTGTTCAAAACAAGGTATTTTCTTTTTAACTGGGATGCCTAATAAATAACCTTCCTTAATCTGGCCTGGTTTATTATCTGTGTATTCTCCTGAATACATTCCCTAATCTATTTGCCACATAGTGTCACATGAAGTTATGCTTTGTTTGAGCTCAGATAAAGAATTCCAAGCTCTTTCACTCAGAAAGTTACTTCAAAAATGCAGTTAAAATTGTGTTTTTGCTGCCTGTGCAAAACTGCCTACAGCTAAAAAGTCTTGGAAGAACAAAATGCTCGACATAGTCTGAATAATATTCCGAATCCTCCTTCCAAATGTGCATCTGAATTTGTGCATCTTCGAATGTCCCTTGATGTCGTGTCATTTCGGCCCCATAAAACCACTCTGAAGGGGTGTGACATGTCAGTGACCCACAGAGTGAAACAGAAACCATCTCCTGTTTCCTCTGAAGCAAATGACACCGAGAGCAGAGTGAGAGGATATTCCCAACGATCTTTGAGTCATTAGCCTGTAGCGTTTGAGTCCTGCACAGAGCTGTGGTTGCCCTGCAGGTGCCTTTCCTGGGGGCAGCACAAGGTAAAGGTGTTGGCCCTGGCTGCAGGAGGGCAAGGGCAGCCTCAGCCCACTGGAGCTCCTTGCCAGTTTGCTCCTGGGCCCAGGCTCTTCTCTGCTGGGGAAACTTGCTCTGCCTTGGATTTTTCAGCAGCTCCCTAGGACAGCAAATGCTGATCTGTGTGTATATATGTATAAAATCTTTTTGTTTTAATGCTTGTCTCTTTTTAGACACAGCAGCTGGGAGTTTGAGCCCTATGTGAGGTAGCTGTATTTCATTGGAAGCATGCTGGGTTTTGGGAATACAAAAAAAAAAAAAATAATAATAAATAGCTTCATCAAAAGCTCCAAATCGATAGTTACCTTGAAGCTCTTTGAAGCAGAACTCGAGTTCAAGAAATGAATGTTCAAGAAAGAAAGGCCCTTGTCCACCTGCCTTGAGGGTCAATTTTGAGGCTTTCAGGGCCTGTGTTGAAGTTCCTGCATTTGCTTATGAAGTGTAGAGCATGGCAAGAGGGGAGAAAGAAATGCACAAGCTTGGGGACCAAAATTCAGAAGTGAACACTGGGAACTGTGGGAAATGCAGTGTGCAATAAGAGGATAAAAGACTCCAGCTGCATATGAAAGTTGCCTTGTTTTGTTGGATTGTCTTCAGAGCTGTTTCCTGGCTCCATCACACATTCATCTCATTGGTGTTTCAGCTTTAAAACA